GGGGGGGGGTAAGGTAATGTCGACACCCCTTTTGAAACGTGCATCACAGCAACTAACTTATATTAAAGTATCTACCGTATGCAGCTGACCACGGCTCTCTTTGTAAAGTGCTATACATTGACGTGTTTAAGGCGGCCTCTCGGTGAAGGAACCGCAATGGATTTGCCTAAACCGAATGTTCCGATCATCCTGGAAGACATATTCGGATGGGTTCGTGAAGGAAATGCGTTGCAGGTTCGAGTCTGGCTGGACGACGTTGAGCACGACCTCAATTTAGGGTGAGGATATCCACTGCCACATTGTCTCTTATTTACGATATTGGCATAATTTCGTCGTTTTATACCTTAGTAGAACTAGTAAACGATTAATATTCTATGATTTGACGGTTATTTAGAGATGATCATGGATTTTCGCTGTTGCACTGGGCTGCCAAGGAAGGTCATATTAACATAGTGGACATGCTGTTGACGCGAGGCAGTCGTGTCAATGCTACGAACCTCGGCGATGACACCGCATTACATTTGGCTGCTGCTCACGGTCACAGAGAAATCGCTAACAAGGTAAGAGCATACCCATATGAAGGCGTAATTCGATGATAAGGTAGAGCCGACTATTTCTTATTTCTTTTGGTCACTGACGCTCTGAAATGGCAATACGTTGGTCGGTTCTACTACTTCCTCATCATCAGAAAGTCTGTTTTAGCTAAACATTCTTTAACCAGTAATTATAAGAAAATGACAGAATACATGCCACAGCGTGTTCCATTACAACATCAGCATCTACCAGATAAATTCAACCTCTCGAGGCCATGAAAAGGCTTTTAATGCTGAACTGATATTCAGTTCAAGAAATTCACTTTTGATTTTTCAGCAAGGCGATTATTTTGTGGCCAAACTTCTCTTGGTCATATAAATTAAGGATATTTTTTCATCCACCAGATCCTTTCGCCCAAAACTAATCCATCACTTGGAGTGTTTTAAGTACCTGTCTCAGAACTAACATTAACTTTCGATATCATGTATCATTTCAGTTTCTGATATTCTAATCAGATTCACTCGATGCAGGCACACTGCTTCTGGTTTCTTAGACAGGATCTTTAAGTAAATGCTAGAGCTCTGTTATATTTGAGCTCCTGCAGGACGTTGGATACAAGAGCGAATGACCGAGTTGAATCGAACAAGTGCTGGTACGAGCGTAAAGTAAATTGACCACTCTCTGTAGGCAAATATATGCACAAATTCTAACCCGATATTCTAGGATACGTACTGCGTCGTTGTCAGCCGACAAGCGTTTATAGTATCACGTTATTTTTTAGGTGTCACAAACGGGAAGAAAACGCATAAAATGGTCTTTATTTACAGATATTTGACTAGGTACAAAGATGTCCCTAATTAAAGACCATTTTATGCGTTGTCTTCCTGTTTGTGACCTACCTATAGATTATGTCACCTCTCGCATAAAGAAATCATGTACGATTTTCAATCACGTTATTATATTATTATATCAGTTAAATTATTATGTATAATGTTTATTTGTACTTTTGGTACTGCACGCATTTCAGGCAGTGCTGCATTTGATGTTTTATGCGGTCTTTAACAATACCATTTGCTTTAGCTCCTTGCCAGCAAAGCGGATGTCAACTCGGTCAACGAACACGGCAACACGCCGCTACATTATGCGTGTTTTTGGGGATTTGAGCAAATAGCAGAAGTAAGTGCATTTTAGCACCGGAAATGTAAATCATGATGAACGTGTAACTTCTGACAGTTTCGTATTCGCCAATTTTACGTAAAATTAACGGCTAAGCTATAAGGTATAAAATTTGGTTCTGATTAATGAATCAAGGTTGGAGAGACTTTTTGCTAGAAAAGAATTTTCACGATAACACAAAAATCTTTGAGCAGAACTGACAGAGTTAGGTTTCCAGATTTCAAGGTGAAAAGCATTATTCACTATAAGCAGTAGGTGGTCTTGTTACTGACCGACCACGACTCTAATAAAAACGACTATTGTGTAAAATATGGGGTCATCGGTATTGTCATTCAAACCGTAAAAGTTTGGTCCTAATTTTCACCAGGGAGTATACATACTGTTATTAGCGACTTTTTGCAAAAACATTTATGGATTGCCGAATTCGTAAACATAACTGATGACGAACATCGTATTCCTCTAGCCAATAAAATGACCTGAATTGTATTTATGTGCATCGTATGAGCTCAAATCACATTTAGTGTTTACTTTTTTGTGCTCTGTACGTATCTAACAGCTGGAGAGCAGTGATAAGGCCGTTAAATTTGATTTTGAGATGAAACGGTTAAACACCTAAAATCTATATAATGCGTGTATATGAAAATTTAAGATTTATATTTTGAGGTTTGTTGCTATTTCCTGTCAGCAAGCGCAGCTGTTTTTAAGTTAAAACAGTATTTTTTCAATTATATGATTGTAATCTTAACGCGTTTAGGATCTGATACGTCATGGGGCTTCGGCATCGATATGTAACAAAGCAGGGGACACTCCAATTGATAAATGTCGTCACGAAATTGGCAAAAAATTAAGCGGTAAGTCAGATTGTAGTATTTCATAATTTAAATTGCTCATCGCTCAGCTTTTGATGGCTTTGTTATGTTTGTGAATGGCTTAAATCATACGCTTGTCCTGTACATGTAGAATACGCGACGAACTTGGGTCAGGATCTAAAGCGCCGTGTCCCGTATCGTGATCAAAGTTGGAAGGGCACCAAGACGAGGAGTCGTGACGCTACGCTATCGCGATACTCAGGTGTTGATATCGCACAGCTGCAGTTGCAAGCTGAAATCTCTGAGAGACCATCCGGAAAAGTATGCGAAGTTTTGTGCGTATCATTTTGCTCACCACTTTCTGTTTGTATTTCTTACAGCTATGGAAAGGCACGTGGCAGGGTAATGATATCGTTGCGCGTTTCCTGAAAATCAGCCACATCACTGCCAGGATTTCGCGAGATTTTCAAGAAGAGTACCCACGATTGAGGTAGGCGCTTTTCTGACGCTTCCACGTCAGTTTTTTTCTTCACGTGTTCGCTTGAGGATATTTTCTAACTCGAACATCTGTCCCGTGTTGCTATGCTGTAACCAGCCACCAAACCTGGTGGTCGTCTCGCAGTTTATGCCATTTGGCTGTTTGTACAATGTGCTCCACGAACAAAGCGGCATCGTTGTCGATCAGCCACGAGCCATTCGATTCGCCGTCGATATCGCCCGCGGTATGGCCTTCCTCCACACGTTGGAGCCGATGGTGCCGCGTTTCTTTCTCAACAGCAAACACGTCGTTGTTGACGAGGACCTGTGCGCGAAACTGAACATGGCTGATGCAAAGTTCTCATTTCAGGAGAAAAATCGCCTCTATTACCCGGCGTGGATTTCCCCCGAAGGTAAATTCATCATTTATTCGCTTGCTGCGTTTCTTCCTCATGCTTTTATTTTCTTTCTTATGTCTGACTGTAGGAGAATGACGAAGTTATGTATCATATAACTTTCTGGATCTTTAAGTAAATGAACGATCTTCGAATATCTTGATGATATCTGCCGATAATTATTATTCTCGATTTCATCGATACCCCTCGTCATCATTATCCATATCATCGCCATCGAGGGGGCTGTGACGTGGAAATTTTTTTGATCCATCGCGTTACATGTTAGAATTCGTTTTTCAATCGGCATCATTAGAACTACTGGGCATTTCTTCGCAGATTTAGCTGAACATTTGAGCGTCTGCTCCCAAAATCGTACGAAAATAATCGGTTTCGCAGTCGTCTGAACCACTGCAACCATCACAGCGTCTTTAACACTGAGAAACGAAAGTTTTTGATGGGGAATTCTCTGATAATAGGTCGCATGTGTTATTCTTGTGACCACATTCACGCTGCTGGTTGCTGCGTTTTACTGTGGTGAAAAAATTGAATTATCTCTCATGCCCATGTTTTTTGTTTGAACCCTGACAAATATGCCCAATATCCTTCGTCCATGGCTTACCTTATCCATATGCAGTGATTCCGTGCTATGAGATGGAGATGATATTTGTTGCTGAAAGTCAATTTCGACTTCCTTTTGTTTCTGACGCTTAGACCACGCTAATACCGTTTAATTCTGATTTGACCGCGGACCAGAAAGTATTACGGAAACGTGCAGCCCCAGATGTCCAGAGTCATGAGCCTGTAGTTTCGGTGTTGCAACGCTGGTATTTATGGACCTAATCTGTTCTCTAAAAACTGATTGTTGATGCTGTTAATAACTAAATATACGGTTATATATCTCGTAATTCCTATATGCACTATATGAGCCTTGTA